AACCTTTCACGTATGTTCTACGCTGCCACTTGCCGCCATTCCATCGAGGCAACCCTCTTCCAGGTATAAGTGAGCTTTCAGCCACGATAAACGGCAGCCACTACATCATCAAGCCAGGCGAGACGGTTGACTTGCAGTCATGTTCGCCGTGCCAGGATGGGCTGTCTCAGCAGATAGTCTAAAGGCAGAAACGGCAGCCGACTCAGCAGGAAAAAGCCCCCAGGAATCGGAATTGGCCAGCTCCAAGAAACGAAAGCGGTCATCGGTCTCCGCAAGTGTCACTTCTTCCAATGTGGCAGATCTCTGGGAGAAGGTTATTGAAGGCAGGCCGGACAAAAAGGCCAAAGCGGAGCAGCAGAATCAGGTCGCAGCCTCCAAGAAGGGGCTTCTGAAGGATGGCACCCCGAGACTGACCTTGAAAGAGAAGAAGAAACTGAAAAAGCAGAGGGAGAAGGAGGCGGCCGGGGAATCTGAAGACCGTGGCACTTCCGTTGTGACCAAGTCAGAGCCAGTTGCTGAAGGCTCGGGACCGGCTCTCGTAAAGGAAGGAAAGAAAAAAGGGAAAAAAGAGCGGAGGTCAGAGTCCCGCCTCGACAAGGATGGAAATGCGCGCGAGGAAGACACGATGGCAACCTCTCATGGCCGCGCTGCAGCATCTGTTCCATCGGCACCAAAGCTTACTCCCATGCAAGCGGCTATGAGGGAGAAGCTCATATCGGCACGCTTCCGCCACCTGAACGAAACGCTGTACACAAAACCTTCGGCTGAGGCATTTCAGCTCTTCCAAAGCTCGCCCGAGATGTTCCAAGAGTACCACGAAGGCTTCCGTCGCCAAGTCGACGTGTGGCCTGAGAATCCCGTTGATGGCTACTTGGAAGACATTAAGCTTCGGACTCGTTATGTACCCAGACAAAACTCGAAGCAAGTCCAAGCTGTGACTGCTGCAACTTCGGAACTGGGCCCTCTGCCACGAACCAATGGTGTCTGCACCATCGCTGATCTGGGGTGTGGCGATGCGAAACTCGCGGAGATGCTACAAGGGCAGAAAAAGAAGCTGAAGATCAACATGCTCAGCTACGACTTACAGAGCCCAAGCCCCTTCGTCACCCGCGCTGATATCGCCAACCTGCCGTTGGAGGATGGCAGTGTAAATTTGGTTATCTTCTGCCTGGCACTTATGGGCACTAATTGGCTCGACTTCATCGAGGAAGCCTATCGAGTCCTTCACTGGAAGGGAGAGCTCTGGATAGCCGAGATTAAGAGTCGTTTCGGGCAGGTGGGCAAGAGCAAAAAGGGCCCGGTCACGCACAGCGTGGGCAATCGCAAAAAGATGCAGGGCAAGAAGTCGAAAAGCAAGGACGAAGAGGCGGACGAGGATCACCATCGAGAATTGGCCGTCGAGGTGGACGGTGCGGAGGACCAACGTCAGCAGACCGACGTCTCCGACTTTGTGGAAGCGCTGCGAAGAAGAGGCTTTCTTCTGCAGGGGCCGGTGGACTTGCGGAACAAGATGTTCGTCAAGATGCACTTTCTCAAAGCGGCATCGCCCTCTGTCGGGAAAGGGGCTGTAGCGCTCAGGGAGCCTGGGAGAGATGCATCAAGGAAGGTTGGTGCCAAATTCACCAACGATGAGGACCTAGATGCCGTGGACGAGAGCAAAATCCTGAAGCCTAGCGTCTACAAGATCCGGTAGTTCCAACAGATTAATTCATTTCGTTCCCTCAGGATTCTCAAACCAGCAGCAAAGCAGCTGGGGCAGTTCCTCCGATCCGCCATATCAAAACATCAAAGGCCTGGCCTATCCAACATGGGATCATTAGGGACAGTTATTGGAGGGAATTGTAAGAGGGGTTTGTAAGCCGGGCATGACAACAGCCGCCGTTGGCTGCCAGATTGCTTCCATGGAGTTCGACCAGTGCCCTGCCATGATGCCTTAATGCGTACCTAACGTAGTATTTGTATCTCGGGTACCTATCCGTAAGAACTTACCTAATTTCCAATGAGGCGAAAGGATCTCATGCTTGCAGCTTGGGATGCTGCGCGGGGGCCGCGGGGCTGATGAACCCAACCAACCCCACGTTGCAATGGGGGAAAGTCGTCGAAGTCCAGACTCTGAGCCGAGCAGAGGGGCGGTGGACCCACATCTCTGGGTATGTACGGCTCTCAACGCATACGTAATAATAAGCTGCTGGCTGCTGGCTACTGTCTCTCTTCCTCTCGTCGCGTGTTACTTACTTCTTCAACCCAAGCAGTCAAAGCCTCTGCGTGGCGTTCAGTGCTGCCTGATCCTCTCCTCCTCTTCACTGTGATCTTTGCCATCATCCAAAAACCTTACTCCGGCAGCTCCCTGCCCCATTCATCCCAACCGTTCTCCCCCATCCTGACCCGGCCAAACTCACCGATACCGTAATATCCGGAGCACGCTGACAGGCGTCCTCCAACCGCCTAAGTCAAGATGTGCGTGATAGCGCATACAGCGCGCCCTGTCCGGCATGTGCAAGCAACTGACGTGTGCATACAGGCGCATCACACTGAATGTGAACAACCCCGATGTCGGAGAGTCGGACCTGCGACTTGTCACCCTTGAGGTCTTTCCCGATATGACCGTCGACACCCTCCGGAGCTCTATAGAAGCCGAGGGCATCCCCGCGCCCGCCCAACACCTCTACCACAACGGCCAGCTGATCACCGACAACTCCAAAACCATGCAGGAGCTCCAGATCTCGGATGGTGACATGCTTGCCCTCCACGTTAGAGATATGCGAGGCAATGCTATCGCATCTGGCGGTGCTCGGGAACAGCAGGCCCAGAGAAGGCCCGGTGGCGCCGGGGCTGGCGCCGGAGCCGGAGCCGCATCCGGAGCTGGAGCTGGAGCCATGCCGGCAGACCCAGAGGTCATCCGTTTGCAGATCATGGGCGACCCGCGCCGACGGAACGAGCTCCAGCGGATGAATCCCCCCCTGGCCGCCGCCCTCGACAACTCGCAGCGCTTCGCCCAGCTGTGGCAGCAGAGCGTCAACGCCCAGGAGCAGGAACGTCGGGCGCGCCTGCGCGAGATAGAAGCCCTGAACAACGACGAGTTCAACCCCGAGTCCCAGGCCAAGATCGAGGACATGATCCGCCAACAGCGCGTCATGGAGAACCTACAAAATGCCATGGAGTACAATCCCGAGTGTAGGTCATCTGCATCATGCGAGGCACCTTCGCAGTCGCGTCCAGAGCTGACCCCATGCCAGCGTTCGGCCGAGTACACCTACTATACATCGATGTCAAGGTGAACGGCGTAAAGGTCAAGGCACTGGTCGACTCCGGCGCCCAAGCCACCATCATGTCGCCATCTTGCGCCGAGGCGTGTAACATCATGCGGCTGGTGGACACCCGCTTCGCCGGCGTGGCCCGGGGCGTGGGAACGGCCAACATCATCGGCCGCGTCCACTACACCATGCTCCAGGTCGGCACCAAGCACGTCCCGGCCGCCTTCACCGTCATGGAGGGCAAGGCCGTCGACCTCCTGATCGGCCTGGACATCCTCAAGGGCCACCAGGCCACCATCGACCTGGCGCGCAACCGGCTCATCATCCAGGGCGAGGAGGTCGAGTTCCTCGGCGAGTCGGACATACCCAAGGAGACGGAGGAGGCCCTCAACCAGGAGCCCACCGTCCAGGGACCCGGCGGCACCACCATCGGCGCCCGGTCGGGCGCCGTCACCGGCCCCTCGGGATCCGCACCGTCATCCTCAGCCCCCGCGGCGGCACCTCCAGCCCTACGACCTGCTGCTGCTGCTGCTGCTGCTCCTGCTGCTCCAGCGCCAGCCCAGGCGCAGCAGCAGCAGCAGCAGCCCCCGAGCGCCAACTTTCCCGAGAGCCACATCAACACACTAATATCCATGGGCGCCGACCGACAATCGGCCATCAACGCGCTGGAGGCGACAGGAGGGGACGTAGAATTCGCCGCCGGTCTTCTTTTCCAAAACTAGGGGGGCCGGGGTTTGGGTGCGACGGGTGCGGCTTCGAACCACTTTGCATTGCGCGACGGACTTCGTGATTCCACAGGGCTAGAGAGAGGCAGGCATTGGGCATTTTGCGTGTATCTAGAATTTCTGCAGGAGTACTACTGCATACTTACATAGTAGCCTCGGTACATGAACAGGTAGGTAGGTACTTGGCCGGTCCTTTGGTAGGTAGGCAGAGAGGGCTACATGATGAAGTGGCAGCAGGCAGCCAGGCAGCCAGGCAGGCACCTTTCCACCGCGCGCGCGCCATCTAGAAGGGCTCTGCTGACGCTTCTGGTGGAGGGAGGGACGGACAACGACCGGAAGAGCTCTCTGTCTAGGTTATTCCGTCTCTTTTCTCTCGGAGTCGGGGCCCGGGCCAGATCATGCCCGTGGCAAATAGAGTAGATGATGGCTCTACAGCCGATACTGATTCAAAGTATACACAACTGCATACCTACAGAATTGTGACCATGTAGTTTAGTATCTGTATTGAGAGCTAAGGTCGGTTTTTAGGTATGTTTGAGCAAGCACCATAGTCTCTCTTTCGTGCTTACTGAGCAAAGACAGCTGCGTGCGAGGAGAGCTGCATGGAAGAAAGTAAGCATGCTTGATGCTAGATAAAATGACACTTGTTGTTGTTGTTGTCTCCAAGTCAGTCAGGGGGGTCAAGCGAGGCGGACCCCTCCCTATCGTTTGTTCCCACCAGCTAGCCTCTAGGTACCTATATACTACAGAGGTTTTCCCCCTTGCAGCAGAGCGTGCGTGCCTGGCTAGCTGACTAGCTGGAGGGGAGTACTAAAGAGGGAACTTGCCAACATTAGCTGCCATGTCGTCAAGGAGAAAGATATCGACTTCTTCTCACGAGTGGTGGTTAAGGATAGCATGGTGGTGGTGGGGCGGTGCGGCGGGTGGTGGCGGTGGCTCACTAGCCGACGTGCGCAAGCGTTATAGAGTTTTCTAATCGACGTACTTTCATCAGCTAAGCCACCCAGCGTGGTTCAGCATATCTTCCGTGGCGCAATTGGCTAGCGCGTCTGACTGTTAAATGGTAACATTGCAATCAGGAGGTTGACAGTTCAAGCCTGTCCGGGAGAGATTTCCTTTTGCACATTCTTCCGTCGTCGTCGTCGTTTTGTCCTCTGTCCTTTTAACTTCCGATCACTAACCTTCACCGTCTGCCTGCCTGCCTGTCTTTTTTGTCTTGCAAGATGTCTGAAGTACTTTATGACAGACAGCCTTGATCTTTCACTGTCCGCTGTCTCTGGCCCTCGTCTCGTAGCTCCCTAGGTAAGGTATTAACAGTTGCCTGCGACCGAGTACTCCGTGTAGACGTCAACTTGCAGGGACTCTTGGGAACTTGAAAAACAGCAGCCTGGCCTCTGGCTCCGAGGCCTAGGGTGCTAGGATATGATCAGGTCCTGATACTTGGCGGGCCCATGCTCGCAACTAAACTCGTCAGATATCACGAGGTGAGAGTACCTAGGAGCGGTCCTCATTTCAGTTGACTTATATCAGTTGATTCATGCATCAGTGCACAAAAGCTTTCAGCGAACAGCATAGCTCATTTATATCTAGTCTGCAACCTTGCTATCTGCTGGGTACAAGAGGAAGGCCGTATAACTTTCCAGTGCCCCCAACCAGAAATTTCCGGGACGTTGTAATTCAACAGAGACCAAATCCACCGGTCAGGTACCTGATGTGTAGTCCAGGCAGTACCGTACCAGAATTTGACCGACTTGCTCATCATCCATCGTCAGACTTCTTCCGTACCAATCAACCAATCTTCCATGCGGAAATCTCTCTCTCAACCTGTTGATCCTTTAGGGCGGCTCTCCCAACCGACATCACATTCGTACAAGATCCGAAGCATCTAGTCAAAACAGGGCAAGAATCGCCAGCCAGGGACCAGAGACTCGTGCCATCACGCAGAACACAGCAGACCGTTGCCCCTCCCTTCTCGAACGACATATCCGATAGGAGAATGAATCCCCAGGGGCCCACGGCAATCATAACCTTGATAGGTAGGTACCGTCGACAGGTCGAAAGGTGCATACATGGAGCTGCATGGCGGCCCCCATCGCTGCACATCCTGCTCTGCAGCGCTCATCACTGCTCCTTTCCCGTCGCGCCCTCGACGCGGGCTTAGGGGGACGAAGCCGTCGCGGGCTCGTGTCGCTGCCGAGCCTCGCTGGATCCCACACGAGCGGCTCTCTCCTCGCTGGGCCGGGACGAGTCCTCGGCGGCCTCGATGCTGTCGAGCGCTTTGGCGAGCATGGCCTCATCACCTCTCAGCTTCGCACGCCTCTCGGCCGTGGCCGGGTCTTCCTCCATGAGCCAGTCATATGTGCTCGGGACAGGACCCGACGCAGCCCCGCTGTCGTTGTCGCCATCGTTCGTGATGCCCAGGTGGCCGTTCAAGTAGTGCTCAAATTCAGCATCGCGGAAGGTGCGGATAAAGTGGTAGCGCACGTCCGAGATCACCACGTCGACGAAGCGCGACGCGGCCGTGAGGTAGTAGGCGCGTACATCGGCCGCAACATCGATCGCGGGCTTGTACGCGTCAGTGGGGGGAAGTCGGGCCTCCCAGCTCTTCCGCAGCTTACATTCTCTATCGCGATCCTCGGGAGTCATCTCGTCGAACGGGACTTTGCTGCCTCTATCGCTATCGTCCACCAGCGAGGCCGCTTTGGCGAGGTGCCAGATCCGGGCCCGCTCGAGCAGCTCTAGTTCGATGTCCCTGTATTGGTCGAAGGCCTTCTTGTTCAGCGTGTCCATCCGGTATGTCTCGTTATAGAAGAGCTCGCGCAGTCTGCCGCTCTGCTGCATCTCGCTTTTGGTTATAAATTCGTTGAGATGCTTCTGGCACTCCGGGAAGATGACCCGGCGGCGAAACCTGCCGAGAGACTCTTCCAGCGATTGGGTGACTGATTCCTTGAGCTGGCTTGCAGCGAGCTCGACCTGTAAGATAAAAAGTGAGCTTCCCGTCCAGTTCTTATGAATCTTCATAGGGGCCCAGTGGCTAGGTCAATACTAAAGCGCACAATAGTATTACACTCACTAAGAGGTTGTTAGCGATACCTTGAGCTGTAGAAGCTTGGTTGATATCGAACGTACCATATCTCTCCAGGGGTCCTTCCCACCTTCTGATCGCCTGAAGGCTGAGCGTCTCTTGCACTTCGATCGGAAAGGTATGATGCATAATTCCCCGAGTTGCAGCCTCGATATCCTTATGGATTCTGGTGATGTACAGCTTGTAGTCCTTGCCGAACTCAGCGAAGGGGTCAGCTGGGACCTCTTCCTTGACCGGGGTACCAGTCATGAGCCTGGTACCGGTAGCTCTGGTTGGAGTCACGTCGGCTTCGTGTCTGCGGCGGGCCGACTTGGGGGTTTCTGTGGCCTGCCTTTTTCTCTTCATCGGTGTCTGTACAGGGACCACTTCGTCTTGTTCGTCGTCGTCATCGTCTATCTCGATGACGGTATGCTTGGGCTTTTGTTCAGTCTCGACATTGCAAACTGGCTTCATGCGAACGATGCAATCGTGGAACTGCATGCTCAGCTCCTTGAAACGGCGCGAAAACACACCACTGTCCACGGCGTTCTTGATGGAGTCAGAAAAGCTTTTCACAGCCATCTTTACCGCATGCTCGACATTCCTGGGTAGGTCTGGCAAATCCGCCAGCTCTCCTTGGACGGTCGCTAACTTAGCCTCAACGGTCGCCTTCATCCAAGGAAGACTGCACCGGTGATGTCAGCTTTATGATGTTGGTATTGTATAAGTGTCTCTGTATCTGGACTCACCTCCTCATCAAAGCATCTCCAAGCTGCTGGGTAATATACTCGTGCAGCCTACCGGTACCACAGCGACCACTGAAGTCACCAAAGGCGTCCGGCCAAAAACGCCATGCATCGCGATCGATGAAGAAAGACTCCTCCCACAACCGGAGGCTACTGAGGCGTTCGGTAGGAGGAAACGACGTGCAGTAGAAGCCATGGCCGACTTTCTGCTTCTCCCCGTTCAAGACTGCTCGCCAGTAGGCCTGGCGGTCGGGGTTATTTAGATCGGGAACACTAAACACTCAAATCAGTAACTGCCTACTCCGAGGGTGGTCTGGCTCTGTCTTAGGAGGTAGTCGGGTACTAAGACAATTGGAAAACAAGACGTCAAAACAGAATATACATACTCGGCTTTTGTGATGACGCCAATTGTGCGCTGTTCGGCCCCGGCATCACGTATGACCTTGAGAGTTTTCGCATTCTCAATGTCCTGGTCCATGGGCAGAGCCAGCATAATGATGGCTCCGTCGCGTTGGACGTAGCTGCGCGTAAGGTTGGAGACGACGCTGATCAGATAGTCCTCGCCCTTTTCCTCGGCATTTGCAAAAACACCAGGCAAGTCGTAGAAACTCAAGTTGGGCTGGTCTGGCCCTTTGATCTCGACTCCTACCAGGTTAGGAGAAAACTTGGCCGGGGCGGATTTTCTGGCCTCTTCAAGGGTCAACTCCTTTGTAAAGGGACTCTCGTCGGGCACGAACATTGTATAGGGGTTGTTGGGGTTCATAATGGCGATCTGAGCCCATCTGAGGGCATTTTCGATCTGGGCAGAGTCCCTCTCGTAGATGGTCTTGAACACCTTCGTATGGCGAGCAGCTTTGGGGACCCAAGGAAAGAAGGGGCTGCTCTTCTTGACATCCGACGGCCGAATCTCACGGTTGGGCGGCTCATAGTCATAGTCTTGCTGCAGGGTAATAGTGCAAGACCAGCGTGAGTCGCTGGAGGTGCTTGTGCATATGTGGAAAGGGCATCGCGTGCAGGTGCCGGCACTCCTGGGGAGATCCAGGCGCGCAAGGAGGGACATGAGACTCGACTTTCCAGACGACTGATCACCAACAAGGACGAGCTCCGGCAGCTGCACCTCAACATGTCGAAGTCCCAATTGCTGGAGAGTGGCGAGTTCACCGTTAATTTTATTGAGCTTAGCGGCAATGCCGGCAAAGGCAGGTTGACCGAGTGTTGCGGGCTGGTGCAGCGGCGTCGATGCTGACAGAGGCAGTCAGCTTCACACAACCGCAGAGGTACCGAGACGATACGAGGGAATACGCCTACCAAGCCATTTCTCACATTTCTCGATGGAAGAGGAGCTGCTGTCCCCTACGTACGAGTGGGTATGAGATACCAGAGAAGTAGATGCCATGTTGACAGCCGCAGGTGGCACGCCTTCCTCTGCGGGTTGATGGCGTCTCTTCTTCGACGGCTTGCCCATCATGACCCCCGGCTTGGGGCCCATCATGAACAGTGGTTCTGAGGCAAGTCAGTAATGCGAAGTTTTCAACAACAGGCCAACGGCGATAGGTTGCCGGGGTGAGAAAATGGCAACAACAAAACGGCGCGAGGAAAGAGCTGGGGCAGTACATCCAAGTGCAAAACACACCCGGCGAGTATCGATTGATAGGTTCCTGACAAGATGCCGATGGCGGAGAGTTCTGCCGGCGGAGGATTGAGGAAGAAAGAGGTGGAGGTGGTGATTGTCATCAAGGGGGGCAGGAGAGGCAGTGAGAGCGACTGACCTTAAGAGAGCGTGAGAACTTGCTGGGGAGAAGCTGAGTAGAATACTGCGCTACAATGGCAGAAAGCCCTTATCTTGAACAGCGCCTGTGCTTGTTGGAAGCAGGCCGAGTAAACAACACAGGGACGTTTCGAAAGAAGGAGGGGGACACCAGTCTATAGGTATAATTGCAGACGGTGATCATGGGGCAGACAGTAGAGGCATGCGCAGAAGACGATGTGCGCGCTTTGTTGCGGCGTGGGTGTGGCCCGGACATTGACTGGGGAATAGGAGGGAGTAGTAATAGATCTGGGGTCTAATAAACAGAGGTACCTGTAGGTAGGTACCTTACTCAAGCAGTTATCTAAGGTACCTATAGGTACCTCAGTGCCGGGCTACTTACTTCTACATGGACCTCAAGGAAGGCGCAACCCAAAGCCATGTGGAGGACATATGTGCACACCTTGCTAGAAAGGTACAGGTAGTGACAACTGTTTCCATATGACGCTCAGGACTAAGGTACCTGGCACCAAGGCAACCAACCAAGGTCAGG